AATTTTTATAATTTACTTATATTATAAAAAATATAGTTTAAGATATTTTTTATTAACTTTATTAAATAAAAAATTAAATATTTATTAGAAAGTTTCAAAATAAAGAACTTTAAATTTTATGTTTAAAATTTTAATATAAAAAATTATAAAAAATTTAATATATATTTAAAGTAAAAAAATTATTTTGCTTCTAATACAAGTTAAAATTTTTATAATTAAACCATTAAATTATAATAATTAAAGTTATTTCTTGTTAATAATTCTACAAAACTAATTATAATTATATGAATTTTAATTTAAAAAATTTTTTAAATTTGTCTAAGATCAACTTTTATTAAAAAATTTTTGCTTATAATTAAACTTTATATTTTTATTAAATAAACAAAAAATAAATACTATCAATAGATAATATATAATTAAAACAATTATTATATAAATTTTTAAAAAATTTTTTGATTATTTAAAAAAATAAATAAAAAGCAACTTTTTAGTTATGATTTAAGGAATAATAACTCTTATCTAAAAAAAAATAGAAAATAGAATAGCAACTATTGGTTTTAAAAAAATTTAAGCATATATAAAAGATAAATATAATAAAAATATAAATAAATTAACAAAAAAAGATAAAAAATTAGAAATAAAAATAAAATATGTCCTTGATATAAGAAATAAAAACAATAAAATATATTTTTAATAATTATTAAAAAATAAAATAAAAATTATATACTTGCAAATTCTAAAAGAAAAAATATTTAACAAAATAAAAAAATAAAAAGAAAAACAAATTGAAGAAAATAATTTAAGTAAATTATCAAAAACAAACTTTTAAATAATTAATTATATGTTACTAAAATTTATAAATCTTTAATATAATTGATACAATTATTTGATATAATTAATTGAGTTATTATTAAATATATAAATAATTAAGGCATAATATAATTATTTTTAAAAATTTTAAGAATTGAGTTAATAACAAATAATTTATATACTGTATATATTACAAAAAAATTTTTTTAAAAAAACTTAATTAATTAAAAAAAAAAAAAACTCTTTCCTACTTCCCTTTTTACGCTTGAAATTTTCCTTTTTAGGAAATTTTTAAGTTGTTTATTCTTTCTTCGTCTTCCCCTTTCCCTTCTCTCTATGCCTCTCCCCATATTTCTTTATTTATCTTTTCCTATTCTCCCCCCTCTCTTCTATATACTCTCCTTTTTACTTTTACTCCTCCCTTCCTCTTTCCCCTTTTTTTCCTGCCGAAGCTAGATTTTTCCCTTTTCCTTGAAGATTTTTCTCCTTAGGCCTTTCTCTTCTTTGAAATCCCCATCTCCATAACATCACTCCTCTGGCCAGTTGACTTCCTTTTCTTAAGGACCATATCAAGAAGCAATAACCTTTCTTAGGACATGGGCTTTAGAAATTTTTCTTTCTTCCATAGCTCCTCAGAAAAAGGATGGATGGTTTACCTTCTCCAAAAGATCGACATGGTCATCATTACCAAACCCAGTGTTGTTTACTGATCGGTGGTTAGACTAGATACACCCAAGAAACCTTTGTACAACTATTATTATCCAAAAGTATCCAAGGAGTTGCGTCCCACAGTATCCAGAGTGAAATGGCAGCCAATGCCAATGCAACTAGCAATGAGCTAGATTAGTTGCAGGTGTCATGCTGGTGATTGGAGAACTTAGTAGTGTAATACGTGACGACCAGAGATTCTAGTTACCTCGCAACACGAGCTGGTGACAACAACAGAAGTTTCTTGCTCACCCCTCCGACAATATAGGTCTATTGTACAAGGTTAGATTCTGGTGTCATTAAGAAAACCAATAGAACTCCACTTATAGGACACTTCCGCCACACTTGAAGCATGGGTGTACCAAATCCTTTTTGTACTTGGAGGCAAACCTGTATAAAGTGGCTGCAGCGCCTTCATGCAAAAAGGTACTTATCTCCTACCACCTCCAATACTACTCTGCTTGCTGTATATCAAGCCATATTTGGAAAGCAGACATACCAATCCTAATTATGACTTGGAGGCCAACCTGTATAGATTGGCTGCAGCACCTTCATGTGATTAGGTATTCATTTAATTTCAGGTAGCTGGACACCATTCATAATTTGATATAGATTTTTGAATTTCTTTTTGTCTATATTCCTTGGGTGGTGCTAAAAGAGCACAGGGGTCTGGCCCCATATGGGAGCCTTGCGTTAAACTCTTTCTAGCAAAGAGAGACGTATGTCGTGCTATTGATTATTGTACCTTACCCTGTATGTAAGTGAAAGTATAATAAATATAATAAAGCGTGATAGCCATTTGCTCTTTTCAAAAAAAAAAAAAAAAAACTAATAGGTAATTCTTTTAATTAGTAATATAATTTAAGATATTAGATTAAATAATTTTTAATTAACAAATATATTTTTTAACATTTATAATTCAAAAAAATATTTTGAAAATTATTAATATACAGTATATGTATATACAGTAAATATAATTTAATTAAAAAATTTTTTAATTAGAATATTTTTATTTTTCAAAAAAAAAAAACTCTATCTATCTTAATATTATATAAATATTGATTTAAAAAAATAACATACTTGTCAATTTTATTATTACCAATATGTCAAATAATATTTAATTATTTGACAAAAAATATTTACGTGTTGTTAAAAAAATATTTATCAAGTTTTATTAAAAAGTAAATGGCCTAGCATTAATTATATATATATATATAAACTTTTTTTCATATAATTTTATTCTTTCTATCTTAAAATATACTGCATGTGTTTATATCTATCCATTACATCTTGTTAATTAACTATTGAGTTATAAATAAAAATTTCAATTATTATTATTATTGATGTTGTATAAAACTTTATATGGATGATCATTATTGAAAATGACAAAAAATACGATATATGATTATTTTGTAATGACATACGCTATGTAAATTTTGGATTACAATTGTAGAATCCTGTCCGCCTTCGAGATTAATTCCTCATGTATATAGGGGATAACTATAAACTTTTTAAAATAAGCTATTACCGAATTTCCAAATATATTAAAAAAATTTTTTAATATAAATAAAGTAAATAATGGCAAACGAAACAATTGTTAATAATCAAAAAAAGAGAATACTTATAAGATTTTACAGTGATTCAATGTAAGCCTCGGGAAAATATTGTTATTAATATTAATATTTATATTTGATACTAGAATAATTATATATTGGTTTATATAACATGTTTGATCGTTAATAGGAAGTCTAAAAAAATTTTTTTGAGATAAAAGATAAAAGTCATTATCTACATGAAAATGTTTTTACACGTCTCTACGAAACTCGCGAACATGTCACGTGACCCCGAATACAACATATTAAATTTGTTACTCGTTCATATTTGCAAAAAAAAAGAGCAGAATAGGCACATTATTATATATTGATTACAAACTTGTTTAACAGCTTTATTTTTAATAAAAAACATTTGTGATTAATTTAAGATTTATAAACCTGGTTTTGTAGTGAATAACTATTACAATTTCCAATAAAAATCCAAGAACGCATATATATAGATAGATAAATAATTTATGACGTGTTTCATTGAGTTATCTTGAAATCGACACTACATTAAAGAAAAGTGTTAGAAGCAAAAATATAGGAATAGATAAATAAAGTAAAATGAAGTAATACCTAAAAGCTATACAATTTGGTCCTTTCGCCGTGTTTGCCCAACTTCTGAACTTAAAGGTGTTGGGTAATGATGTGCCGCTAGGAACTGCGACTTTAACTTTAGCCGAAGCACTATCGCCAGAAAACTTGATTCCATCATTCCATATGACTCCGAGCCATGTTGCATTCTTATCATTCATGAGAAATAATTCAACATCTGTCACGGAGGTTACGTCTGAATCCGAATCTTTTTTCCAAGAGAAATTGAAATCATCACCATTTTTAATTGTTACTGTTTCGCTTGAACCGTTCGCTGGGGGACTCACATACGCAAATCCTTTAATATTAATGAAATAAGAAAAAGAAGAGACATAAGAGAAGTTGTGGTAGGGTAACAGAATCACAGAAAAGATTTTTATTTACCACCACAAAAACTTCTACGGTTTAATTGAAACTCATTCTCTAAAAGAGAAAAATGTCTATTGGATTAGTTGATTTGAGGTGAAAGACAGATTACCGAAATATCTACCTTTGGGTACTGCGTAAGAGTTTACTAAAGTATAGGTCAGTGTACACACGAACAATATCACAAGAATATTCTTAGAGGAAAACATTTTTAATAATAATTATTGGTCGTTCTTAAAAAATGGATAATTTGTGCGTAAGAATCGTAATTTGCCGTCAAGGAATCGTAATACCACGTCGGTATCGTTCGTTCGAGTCAAAGACAGGTGTATTTATATTATTTTTTCCATTATTTTCGTCATTCAGTTCAGGAGAAAAAAATGGATAAGCTAACAACATCTTGAATCCATTTGAACGAAAGTATCTTTGATTAGCGTTGAATTATAAATAGCATGTATTATATTCTTATTATAACAGGAACTACAATATATAGATGGTTAGTGTTCGTCGATTCGATTCTCTATTAATCGACGAGCCTGTCGCTAATCGACGGGGCACAAGAATTTTCCCGTGTTGTTTAATACCATAAGTGCTATAACATAAGCTTGGTGAATTACCTCTTTTTTTTGTTTATGCTTTTCAAGTGGCGATTTTACCACGCAAATCTTTTTTTTCGATCGACAAATCTCCAAAAGTAAATGATAGACTTTATTGTTCTGATAATAAAATTTAATTAAATGTTGATTTGCTTTTGGTAAGAGTGCATGCTATTAATAAACACGACATACTGTATACTCAAGATTAATCTTGATCCTTTTTATTAATCATTTCACGAATTCCAATGGGCGGTCGAAATCTAAACAAGAAGCCAAAGTATTGGCAATTCTTTTTGCCTATTTTACACAGATATGAGGCACAGAATAATCTGGTTTGACCTGTTTAGATCTAGCTTGAATTTTAAGCCCAGTAGAAAATATGAACAGTCTTGATTGATAAGATACTGTATTGTGAAAAACATAATTATAATATAACCAATTGATTCTTACTTTTAAAAATAAGAAACTCGATTGTAATTGAACTATGTTAAAACGAGACCTAATTCACATTCCAAAATTCGAATTATAATTCATAAACCTTGGGAGTAGTTTCCACATTTCTGCAAAGTTCTCGTAGAAAGTGAAAAATTTCTACATTAGATTATACTTAGATTATAGTTTCGCGACATTGAAAAACTTGAGAATACTGAAACGTATCTTTTACATTAGTTTTTCGGGGATTGTAGACTAACTACATATAAAAATTTTGTCCCAAATGTATAAACGCGAAAAATAAGATAAGCATATATTTATCCTAAATTTTTTTTAATTAAAAGAACCAGTTTTTTTTTTTGTAACATTGGATTCGTGAATCTATCATAGATCTTTGATGATCTTATTTGATTCCAAAGGAATAAATATTATCAAGATATATTCCCCGAAACTGCACTCAATAGTACTTGAAGCTGCTAACATTGAAGATTTCGTTTAATTGATTAGAGTTGTATTGCACATAAGCTTCAGTAGTACAAGTAATTACTGTGATGAAAGTATTTATTAAACAATAACTCACCATTTTGATTATGATCCCTTGAGTTATCGATCGGTTATTTTACCATACATGATTGACCATGTTCAGTTCCCATTCCATTATAAAGGAATCAAGATATTTTATTAACATCCATCCTTTTTGCTCAAGTTATGCACCTTCAGTATTCGTCTACAAATAAGCGTTTACCAGCCTGGTTACGTCATAGACATACGGTTTGGGATACTAATTCATTCTGCAAATATGGTCATAAGGCCTATGATCTGGCTTATTTGACGATCATGTATTCTTGTTTTAACGCTTCATACCTGAATTGTAAAGAAATATCTCATCGAATATGAGTCTTGATTCAAGGATCAAGAACAACGGATATTACGATTCCCATGATTATAACAGGTAGGATGGGTCGATCGTGTGAAAAAAATTAAGCAAAACTATGTACTGAGATAAAATCACATCAATGGAATATGCATCCCGTTAAAATCTTTCATTATCATCTAAAAAATACGTTGTATCGAACGATTTATTTATCTAAAAATACGTTGTGCCGAACGATTTATTTATCTAAAAATACGTTGTGCCGAACGATTTATTTATCTAAAAATAAATTACTTATATCAAACGATTTTTTTTTTAACCCAAAAATAATCGGGCGGATTGATCAGACTATAAGGGGATACCCGTTATGTCATAATGGAAAAATGGCTCAACTTAATTTCAAAAAACCGGTTCTTTTAATTAAAAAAAATTTAGGATAAATATATGCTTATCTTATTTTTCGCGTT